ACGGCACCACTCTCCATGGTGCATTGTTTATTACTAGCTTCCAGTGAGGTTGCTAAAGGTTTTGAAGATTTAAGGTTTCAACATATTCTGTCTCACACTGGCCTTGTTTCACTTCCTATTCTCTAATATTCATCCTGCCAGCACTTCTCCTTTGGTTGACTTAGCTTGTGTTATTTTGTGTTAAAACGGGTATGTTTTTTTAATGGGTATAAATAAATTAAAGCTGCATCTTTAATTAATCAGTGCACTTTATATTGTAAGTGGGGATTTTTTCTGATGACGTCTTTATGATTTTTAAGATGACATTTTGCACACTTTCCAACTTCTCTCATGTGCTGTAGTTTTTACTCCCACACCTCCAACAGGTCCAGCTTGTCAAGAGAACACTGATCAATCAGGGATGCTAATCAGTTTAATCTAAGGCGAATATTAGTTTCTGGATACAAAGGAGGAGATTGGGTGCATAGTTATACCTGAATGATGATGAATTGCAGGCAATAGACCGTATGTTGTACATAATTTTAAAAAAAAAACCCTTAAATGTTTATTTTTTCAATTACATAGGTTTTTAAATGGAAATACATATGTCTGGAAGACTAAAACATGCCTAACAGACAGCAGCAGCAGCAGGTAAAGTGTGGAGAAATGAAAGCATTATTAATAGAAATATTTCTATCATAGCAGCTATTAAATGGTTGTTTTTAGGTTTGGAGGAAGTATCCATATGTTTGCAAGATTTCTTTTCAGATAAAAAAAAATACAGTGTGCTTATGAAGGGGGTCTAGAGTATACACAGAAACACTAATGCTGCTAGTTCTTTGATTGTCTGCTGCGACGGGCTAAGCACCATTCGTTTAAATAGCAATAAAGGCACTCAGCACCTTGAAGGATCATCAAAACTCCACTGATTAGGCAATGGAGGGAAATTCTGAAATATTTCCTATGGTTTGTTGACATTTTATTTCAATGGAAAATTTTAAACTAGCCGTTATGAACTTCATTCCTTATACCACTGAGATCCCACTTCAGCAAAGGATTCAAGCATGGGCTTAAATGCCATGGATCCTTTGCTGAATAAGGACAAACTTCAGTACACATTTAAATGCGTTGCTGAATCAGGTCTCAAAGGGGGTCCGCAGAAGTCCCAAGGCCTTGTCCACTAGCTGCTATGCATGAGGATTTCACTGAGTTGAGAGCAATCATCAGACCTAATGCTGGGCTGTGGACTGACTGACTGACTGATATTTTTTCAGCTACCAGGCAAGCTATAGCTTTGACCTGGAAGAGGTATGTTTAGTGGTGATGGTGTCTGTCACTAGGTACAGTGTTGCTGTGTGCTTATTCCTTCCATTGTAGAAAGAAAAAGGCTTGGGGGTTCATTCAAACATAAGTGAAATAGTAGCAATTATGCATGCCAGAAAAACAAAACAACCAAATGGTAACGTTTGTGTAGCTTCCAAGCGCAGATTAATTAATTAATTCAACATACAGTTGTTTTTACTTGGTTTCGGATGGAATTCCAAAATTCAATTAACAAGCAGGTGGTTGGGTATCAGAAGATGAAGTCTGCAGATGTTTCAGGTGGAATGTAAATGAATCATTAAGGGAAGACCCACTGCATCCTAGATACAGAATTAAAATGGGGTTGGGGCAAATAGCAATACCTGAAGCAAGGGAGGACTGTTAAGTTAGGAGTGCAATATAAATTCTGTCTGCTATGATGGAATCCAGGCATTCGTCGCTTTGTTAGCTAAGAATTTTGACTGATTTTTTTCCACTTATCTGCATTCCCTCAAAAAATCATTCTCACACATTTCCACAGCTACATCAATCCTTCAGGCATTCCCCTAGACACTCAGTAGGATGCCCTGCCATGAATATAATAAAGCCTTTTATTATGCCCATTAACCATGGACATGTGTGCGCCAAAAGTTTCCTGACACGCAGTCATTTGTGGCTTTTTAATTATAAACAGAAATATCCACTAGTGAAATACGGGAGCAGGCTAACAAGTATCTTTGTACGTTTGAGTTCGTTTTGCATACTGTGATCCAATTGGTTGAAAGACAGTGTATCTACACCCTCCCTTCCCATCCTGTCACAGATGATGTGTGTGTGTTTAAACACATAGTAAAAATCTAGTAACATAATGGGTCAGATTCTCAGCTGCTCACCAAACCTCCGCCTTATGTGGATTTAGCAAACATCTGTAATGACTGGTAATGCTGTTCTGATCAAATCTTATTTCCAAAATAAGAACACTTATTTGTCCTTAATTTCTTAAGCCTGTTTCACTTGATCTGAGGGGGAAAGAAAATAAGGCCCAGTGAATTACTTGACAAATGAAGTCATATTTATTGAATGCGTTTTATTTCAACAACCAAAAAGTTCTAACAGCCTAACAATGCACATAAGTTAAAAATTAATTATCACTTAGTGATAACAAAGATAAAGTTGATTGACATGGAAAAAAGAACATTTACAATATGTTAATCCTTATTCACATTGTTGATACCGCAATAAAACACAATTTGTTTTTGTTATTTTTTTAATTTTTTTTTATTTCACAAAAAAGGCGAAAAATTGTGCTTTGTTAAGAGGCACTACAAGAAAAGTTTCTTTTTCCAAATAGATATTATATGATGGATATTGAATAAATAGACATATATGCATTGTAATTCGCTAAGTTCTGGCAAGACCACAGGCTAAAATGCCCACAGATTCACTTAGAACCACTGCAAAATTGGCAGTGAAATTAAAAACAAAAGGCAAGACTTAGCATTGAAAAAAACCTAATAAAATTTTTGGTCGAAGTGTAAAAGATACCAAATGTTGATGCCATGAACGGATGAATAACCTTGCAAGGGCAAAAATCAGTTTCCTTTTACACAAATGGAGTGATTACAGTAACAGTAAAAGAAGACAGTTTTCAAAGAACATAAAGCAGCAACTACTGAACTTCTGATTAAAGCTGCAGTGTATTACAGAAACAAGGAATGAGGAGCAAGAAGGGCTTAATTAAGCAAACCACCATCATTTTTGCAAAGGTACATAAAATTAATGCAGAGATACTGGGATGTTATTTGAAAAAGTCCCTTTAAAAACTCCAGAGGTTACTGAGCAGCTAAAATTAGCTTGTATTGCAACATGTCTTCTCCCTGTATATTGGACGTTCTGAGTAAATATCAACAACAGAGGTTTTTGTTTTGTTTTGACTCCTACTTTTTTTTTAACCTTTCAAATATATAAATAGTATTAACAGTTATATTACAATGCCTGGTGTAGTAAACAGAAAATAACTTCCAAAGTGATATTGCATGAGGTCTTTGTCAAAGTTACATAAAAGCACAACACATACAAAAAGAAACCCTGCAGATATGGTTCTGACTGCAGTTTAAAAGCTGTCTGCAAAAAGTCCAGCTGCAATAGTAGTGAAGGCGAGGTCTTCTCTTGAAAATCATTGCACGGAAGTGAAAAGTAATGTTACTTGGTGTTGCTCCCATCAAGATGCCTCAAAACGGTTGGAAACTATAGTAGATTGCAGCTTTAGTGCTCAAACCATTGAAGAGTCAGTAAGCATTAGCTCTGCTTTAAGTAATGTAATTGCTGTACTAGGTGACTGGGACAATGTTTCAGTTTATAACAAAAAAGCCACTACTCAGATACCATCTCTCATTCTTATCCCCTCCAGCTGCTACGCTGAAGGAAGACTGAAAAATGTATTTGTACCAGGGCTGCCCCGCACTGAATATAGACTCTGAGACCAGCGGCTGAAAATGCTTAGTACCACTGGAATACTGTGCATGAAGCAAAGGAAGCCCAAGTTTAACAGCCATAAAAAGGGAAAAGGAGAACCAATGGTGGGAGACCTTTATTGATCAGCAATTTGACCAATAGTTTTCTACCCATGTGGGTTTTGAAGTTCTAGTTTCCTAAATTGTCTTTATGTTGAATCAAATAAAATAATAAAAACTAAAAGCAACAATAAAAGAACTGTATAAATGTTAAGAACTGAAACAGAGAACAAGTAAATAAACTCCACAGTAAAACATGGTTCATAGTATGAATTCCATACATCATATCTCAAAATGCTATTTTTAAATCAAGACCTCATTAATGAACAAGTCTTCTATGCACTGAATTTCAGTTTTACTCATTTTGAATTCCATGAAAATTCATCTGTTCACTATAGAAAGGGCCACATGATTAATGGAACATGCTGTATAATTTTAAGTGTGCACTGTGTTTTAAAGTACTTCAACATAGCTGTTTTTAAGGTGCCCTGATTTTCCCATTCTCTCTTTTTGTATCCTCTTTTTTTTTTTTTTGGCAGTGTTGATTTATGTCTTTAAATACATACTTCAAAAATTACCCATCAAGTTGCCAGATAGGAAGCCATATAATAACAATAATAAAAAAAAATCAGGGATAAACATAGAAAATAAATAGGAATTCAAAAATAGTCACCACACCCTGAGAGCAGGCAACAGTTATCAAAAAGCCAAAGCAACTCATTGTGAAGTGGTTTTAATACATAAACAAGTTTCGTCTTTCAAGAATTCATTTCACAGTCTATACTTTCGAATGGTAAAGTTCTGTCCCATGCAATTTTAATATATATATATATATATTACGTAAATATATATATACACACACCCACCCACACACACACACACACACACACACACAGCTGTAAATTTTCCTTCATTGATTACTTAGGTCTTTTTCTTCCTGTTAACTTGCTAGATGTCTCTTTCATAAGTGCAAGATTAAAGCAGGCATAATCCTATGTGATTATAATTATTATCTCAGTCAAACATGAAAGTGTAACACTCAAGTGTCTGTGTCAAAGTGATGTTTGATTGGACGATGCTGAATTCATTCCGTTTGCACATGGATCATGTGCAACAGAAACCAAAATGCAAACAGAGAAACAAATTAATAAAAATAAACAGAGAATCCTTGGATCAATGTATTGCTTTCTGAGTCAGGGTCACACATTATCTCTGGTCAATTTCTGAAGGTGTTGACTTGCTTTTGTCAGGATTCTCCTCTTCGGCTTCCACTTTGTACATTTCCTCAGAGCCTTCTTCACTGTCGTTCTCCTCCGATTCAGTCAGCAGCTCCTCATCTTTGTACTCTGCCACATCGACCACTGTTCCCAAATGCTCTTTTAGCTTCCCATGGTGCTTTACGTGGTAACGTTGATTCTGGAAGAATTTTATGATTGTGTGCTTGGGCAGATCGAGTTGAGCAGACAGCGTGTGAATGGCCTCTTGGTCAGGATACAAGCCTACATCGTGGATAAAGCTTTGAAGGATGCCTAAAGCTTCCAAGGATATCTTGGTACGGGATCTTGGCTTTTTGGCACAACTGTCCTCAGCAGATGGAGGCGGGGCTTCTTCTCTTGGAGGAGTGTTTTCCTTCGCAGGCTGCGACTGCTGTCTATGCAGGACCTATATAATTAAACATACACACATATTCAATGTACTTTCTGCATAATTCAAAAATGGGACAGCCCTCTGGTTAAAAAGGCCACTTGAGATATTCATCAGTTTGACAGAATTTAGACAAAAGCTTTATGTTATCTCTTAGGCTGTGTCTACACTGGCATGAATTTCCGGAATTGCTTAAAACAGAATAGTTTTTGTTATAAGTATTTCCGGGAAAAAGAGCGTCTACATTGGCAGGCTGCTTTTCTGGAAAAGCCCTTTTTCCGGAAAAGCGTCTGTGGCCAATGTAGACGCGCTTTTCCGGAAAAGAGCCCCGATCGCCATTTTCGCGATCAGGGCTTTTTTCCGGAAAAGACTACTGGGCTATCTACACTGGCCCTTTTCCGGAACAGTGTTCCGGAATAAGGACTTATGCCCAAGCGGGAGCAGAATAGATTTTCCGGAATAGCGGCTGATTTTGTACAGTAGAGCATCGTTGCTTTTCCGGAAATTCAAGGGCCAGTGTAGACAGCTCGCAGCTTATTCCGGAAAAGTGGCTGATTTTCCGGAATAAGTGGCCCAGTGTAGACACAGCCTGTGGGTACAGATGTACTTGCAAATTTTAATTCTCCATTCCCTTTCTTTGCTTCAAAGCAAATGCACCATAAATGCAGATTAAGAAGAAAATATGAAAGCCCAGGTAAAATGGCTAGAAATTAAGATGGGGGGGGGGCTTGGTTATCGTAAACCAGTGGATATAAGAGTCGTCTAGGATGCAGGACAGCCTGGTTCTATCCTCAGCAGATTAAATGACCTGCTCTGCCACAGATGATCTGTGTGACCTTGGGCAAGTTCTTTCACCCCTTTGTATCTCTCTCTCTCCTCTTACTTGTCCTGCCCATGTAGTAAGTAAATTCTTTGGGTCAGCCACAGTCTCTCAGTATGCGTTTGTTCTGTGCCTATCCCAATGAGGGCCTAACCCTGGTTGGGGATTTACATGCCAGGATATAACAAACAATATGATTTGGATTAAAATCTATGAGAACCCCTTTAAACAAAGCCTTAAATAATAAACATTTTCAGACCGATGTAACAAGATTTTCCTTTTTTAAAAACACAGTGAAACTTTTCCTAAACCAGTGATGCTGAGACTGAGGCTTCCAAGCCGCAAGTGACTCTTTAATGGGCCTCCTGCAGTTCTTTGCAGCATATGATACTTAAACACTGTGCAATTTCATTATTAACCAATCTAGGGCTATGTCTACACTACAGTGCAGGCCTGGGCAAAATACGGCCCACGGCCCACATCTGGCTCACCAAGCCATCGGATCCAGCCCACGGAGGCAATGGAGAGCCCCAGGCAGACTCCCCTGCTTGCCCTGCTGCCACACACGCCGCTCAGAAACGCAGCTATGGGGCGCTTTCTCTTTGAGTCTGGAGGGGAGGGGGAAAGATTCAGATGCTGCTCCTGCCCCCAGCACAATCCCATTGGCTGGTTTCTTGACTGACACTAGCCAATGGGAGCTGCTTGTTTGAATTACATGCAGCCACAAGGTGCAACCCTCCTGCTCACTCACTCAAGTACACGGCCGAGCAGGCAGAAACTTTTTAAGCTCTGCAGGCAGGAAGAGAACCCGCCTCTGGCACCTGAGCCCCTCCCTTCCCCAACCCTCTGCTTCACTCTCCTGCCTCACTACTCCACATGCACCCATATCCCTTCCCAGATCTGGCACCCCAATCTCCTGCCCGAGACCACAATCCCCTCCTACCTTAGGTCAGATCCCAAAACCCTGCACCCCAGTTCCCTGCCCTAAGTCACAACTACCTTTCTTCACCCAAACTCCCTCCCGGACTCCATTCGCCCTCCTGCACCTCAATCCCTTACCCCAAGCTCCCTTCTGCACCCAACCTCCATCCCAGACCCCGCACCTCCTCCATTAATACCATGGAAGAGTGAGGCCCTCAACCACGTTCCAAAATCTTGGAAGTGCCCCCCCCCCCATCAAAAATTATTGCCCACCTCTGCTACAGGGATGATCAAAACTGCCATTGTTGATCGTCCAGGGTTTGAACTAGCAGTCTAGTTAAGACAGCTAATTCAAAGTGAGAGGGGCACTTCAGTCGATGCAGGTAACCCTGCTTTCATAAGGAGTAAGGGAAGTCAAAGGAAGAGAGTCCCACAGAGCCAAAAGCTGAGTTAAAGTACTTTGAATCCAGCTACACCATTAAAGTAGGTAAAGTTGCATATCTTAACCTGACTTTGTCCTGAAGTGTAGACATACCCTAAGTTATTAACCAATCAGGATGCTTTTACTATGTTATTCTTTTATTTTAGATGAATGAAATCACCCTACTATGGCTCTTTTGGGTAATGTTGATCGCTAATTTGGCTCCTGAACCACAGAGATCTGAGGTTCAATGTCCTTAAACAATCATTCAAGGGCAGACAAACTGCATTCGCTTAAAAGAATGGGCTGTATAGTAAAGGAGGGGTAGGTTTGTAATCAGAATGTCTAGGGGACACTTTGGGGGAAGCCTCTAAAGATAAACTGCCTTATGAAGGGTATCCTTGGAACAGGTTTCACTACACTAGGGCTACGTCTACACTGGCCCCTTTTCCGGAAGGGGCATGTAAATTTCATGAGTCGTAGTAGGGAAATGCGCGGGGGATTTAAATATCCCCCGCGGCATTTAAATAAAAATGTCCGCCGCTTTTTTCCGGCTTTTAAAAAAGCCGGAAAAGAGCGTCTACACTGGCCCCGATCCTCCGGAAAAAGTGCCCTTTTCCGGAGGATCTTATTCCTACTTCAAAGACTAGAGCCGGCATCCCAACCCCCCTACCCCAGCCTGGCAAAAGTGAATGAGATTCGAGGAGGAAGGGGGATGAAGAGAGAAGGGGGGGGGGGGGGGAAAGGGGGG